AAGTTTTAGCCTTCTAAAGAGAATACTTCATTACACAAGATGTACTATGACGGAGAGCAGACCTAACGATCTTGCACTTATGGCTCACTTCTGAGAAAATTATTGAAATGTTTGTGCAAGCAAATCCAAGAAAATTGAAGCTTAAAAGAGTTTATGAATATGTAGATGGAGTAAAATTCTATCTACAAATTTCAGAAGAAATTTCGTTTATTAGTGAAAATATGATTTTTTAATGATGCTGTGATTATTGATTTAGTTAGCTGTGATGGAGTTAAGTGATAAATTTATAAATTTATAAAGTTAAAAAGTTAAAGTTAGTTTTTCGAGCAAAGGAATAAATTTTAGTATAAATTTTAGACTCTATAAGGTTAGTAACACCCAAAAATGTAGTCTTTTTGGTGTATTTTTATGGTTTTAATTGACTTTTTGAACAAAACAATTCCAGGGGGGGGCAAAAAACAGCCAGGGGGGGGCAAAAAAATTTTTTTCGCGCTTCGCGCGAAATCTTGCCCCCCCCTGGCTAAAATCCTGTGTACGCGCCTGTATACCACCTTGTATATATCCCAAAATATACATATGTTTACAGGCATAGATACAGCGGATGTATAATTGAGAAACATATGTCTCAGGTTTAAAATATTCAAGTCATTTAGGAAATATACTAGACCCGGAGCATACCTTGTAAACAGGAAGGTTCTGTAGACAATCTAACAAGGTTTGGATTGAAAACTTCCATCCCATTCTCTCCATCATCATTCTCCTCCTCATCCTCATCGTATGTTTGATCTCCGGTAGTTCCATATAGTTCCTGGAGTATCTCGTCTGCCATAGATCTCGGAGACAAGGATGCATCCCGCCAAGATCCGGGAGATCCTATATTTCCGTAGATTTCGGACAAGATTTCGTCCGCGAAATTGGTCGAAACTACTTTAAACTTTCCGAGTCCTAACTCGTCATCACTTGAGCTCCGTGATCGTTCACAATCCTCCTCCAGGGTTGGGAGAGAGCAGTAGATCTCCTCGTTGGAGTCTGCTGCAAGATCGTCTTCGCTCTCCTCTATTATAACATCCTCAAGCTGAAGAGCAACCTTTCGTAGAGGTTTACGTCGTTGATATTTCCTATACCGAATCTCTGCAGCGGTTAGTCGGGATTTCATGGAAACTAGATCCGCGAACACATCGGGTTCATCCTCTACCTCTTCTCCGGTAGTGTTTTCCGGTGGGAGAGATTCTGGATCAGTTGAACCCGCCTCCTCACTTTGTAGATTTTTATCTCCTTGGTTCGAATTTGGAATTTCAACACTCCGGGCAGGATTGGAAATGGGTTTAGATTCCGGTTCTGGGTCCTCATCCTCACAAGAGAGAGCGGAGAGAGAATGTTTAACCGTGTCCTGATTACTAGTTCTCTCCGTTCTTCCATTCTTTAATTCATTAGTGGGGGTCGAATGACCGTGACTCAGATTTGAATTATTTTTGGTTTGTTTTCTAGGTTTGTTTTCCATCTGGGTTTGATCCCAGTATGTATCCCATTCATCAGCCTTTAGTCGAGTCCGTCGGATGTAATCATATGGATCCCTAGGACCTGGAGAAGGGCGCCTGTTCCTGAACTCGTAGGTAGGACGAGACTCCGGAGAAGGACTCAGAGACATCGGCAGCTTTGGTCTGTTTGTATTTCGTAGAGCTTGAGAGGAAAACCCGGAAAAACGTTCCAGGTTACATTTTCTGCACCTGGAGCCAGGTCTACTCCTAACAGAATCTTTGCCAGACTCCAGACACCTGCAGTAGAACCTGGAGTTAACAGGATGAGGAGGAGAAGGTGTTGAGATATATTCAACTGGAAACCCATAAACCCCCGGGTCCCAACCACCATATACATACTGATAATTTACACCATGTGGGCCCCGTACAGTTCTATATCCGGGATTATATCCCGGATACACAGGATATATCGGAGCCGGAAGAATCTCTCTTCTTGGCTCCGGATCCCTGACTGTGACAGCTGCAATCTTATCCAGGGTTCGGCTGATTTTCTCCGCAAAACTTCGTTTCCTCTGTTCCTGAAAAAAAAATATTTTAGATTTTGATTCTAAATATCTTCGTTCTGAGTTGAGGAACTAGATTAAAGGCTGGAAATGGATTTATTCAATAATTCATTCAAACTTTTAAAATAATTCAGAGAAGATCAAATAAAAGTTTAAAATTCTGAAAGCTTCCAACGATAATCTTAAATTGAATAACAGACTTTACTGCACTTTTAATACTACTTTCACTTCAGGGTTTTTGTTTCAGTACTTTGAGACAAATAAATGTGAATAAATGTTAAAGAATGATAGTAAGCTAAAAATCTATTAACGATAAACGTCCTGCTAGAGTTTAAAAGAGAGTTAACACCAATTCTGGTTTTTATTACAAGTTTTCTATGAACAAACAAGATTGGCAAAATGCTAAGTTTGACACACCCGTTCTAACCCTTAAACCAAGCTGTAAATAACGTCATCTTCAAAGTGCATTGTACCAGATAGAATATGACATCATTGAAAGACAGTTTGTCAACAATCATCAACCAAAATATCAGGATCACGTTACATACAGTCGTCATGGTTATATCATTACACTGAAGATATCTTTAGAATTCAATTTTGATTTCTACCAAGGTTCTAATCAGCATGGATACACGTAAGCATATAAACAAGAAGAAGCTGTCAATTTCACAAGCTTCTCTTTAGTAACTAGTAAACTTGTTATTTTAAAAACCTTGTTATAAATTGAAACTTTAATAAAAAGTCGTCTTCTTTGTATTCATTAAAACACCGACCATTATCGTAAAAAAGTGTACGGAGCAGTTGACCAGAACATTTAGTTTTTAAAATTCATAATAATGTAATAAACATTAAAACTTTATTTATACTTACAATCATATTGTCTGGTTTATTTGCGCTCCATTTTAGAATCTTATACGTACTTGGTACCCTGGCTACCAAAAATATAGTTTAAGCACTAGTTTTCTCCACTTGACTTACTCAAGCATCATGACTTTAAGCTTCTGAAGGAATATTTTCTAAGATTTCACTATTTTCTCTCGTTTAAATACAACATTTTACTCTAGGACTATTTTCCTATATTGAGATGAATTTGTCTACCGTTTAACTATACGAATAAATCACCAATGTATTGTAATTGTATAAATACGCATCCTCGGCTCCTGGACTGGAGCTCACTGCGTCATGTTTCCATCTCTAAGTTCAACATCTGACTGTCGACTGAAGTATAAATGTACTCAGTACTCGCCGTGCATACGCGCGTCGTGCTACCTTAGTGCCCTGGTTTCACTCTCACTATACATACAGGTATCTACCATATTATAGACCAGGGTATCAGTATATCCAGCTGTAGTACACAGGTATCTACCATATTATAGACCAGGATATCAGGATATCTATCCAGCTATTGTACAGGTATCTACCATATTATAGACCAGGATATCAGGATATCTATCCAACAGGTATCTACCATATTATAGACCAGGATATCAGGATATCTATCCAGCTATGGTACAGGTATCTACCATATTATAGACCAGGATATTAGGATATCTGTCCAGATATAGTACAGGTATTTACCATATTATAGACCAGGATATTAGGATATCTATCCAGCTATGGTACAGGTATCTACCATATTATAGACCAGGATATCAGGATATTTATCCAGCTATGGTACAGGTATCTACCATATTATATACCAGGATATCAGGATATCTGTCCAGATATAGTACAGGTATCTACCATATTATAGACCAGAATATCAGGATATCTATCCAGCTATGGTACAGGTATCTACCATATTATAGACCAGAATATCAGGATATCTATCCAGCTATGGTACAGGTATCTGCCATATTATAGATCAGGATATCAGGATATCTATCCAGCTATGGTACAGGTATTTACCATATTATAGACCAGAATATCAAGATATCTATCCAGATTTAGAACAGGTATCTACCATATTATAGACCAGGATATCAGGATATCTATCCAGCTATGGTACAGGTATCTACCATATTATAGACCAGGATATCAGGATATCTATCCAGCTTTAGTACAGGTATCTACCATATTATAGACCAGAATATCAGGATATCTATCCAGCTATGGTACAGATATCACCATATTATAGACCAGAATATCAGGATATCTATTCAGATATAGAACAGGTATCTACCATATTATAGACCAGAATATAAGGATATCTATCCAGATATAGAACAGGTATCTATCATATTATAGACCAGAATATCAGGATATCTAGATCCAGCTATTGAACAGGTATCTACCATATTATAGACCAGAATATAAGGATATATTTAAAGGAAAAAAGCAGAAGAAACACATCACACATGAATTATTATGATAACATGATAACAATAGGATGTAAATGGATACAAAACTAAAAAAAATCCAAATTTTGGAATTTAAAAAATGCCATTGATAGGATACTAGAAAAATATAGGATGAATTGTTTGATACAAACTCCCTTAGTAGGATTTACACTGGGACAAAAGTCTGCAAACATAACATGATCTTATAAAATGATTTCTATATCAAGAATGATTCAGTATAATTCATAGTATCAGCTGCTGTTTTGTAATGTTCTCATTATTCCAATTATCATATCCATGTAGTTGTAATATATTTGCAATGTCATTATTCAACCCCAATTATGACCATTCTTCTTCTCCTATCCTCCTCCTTTTCTTCTCCTATCTTCCTCCTTTTCTTCTCTTCTTCTCCTATCCTCCTCCTTTTCTTCTCTTCTTCTCCTATCCTCCTACTGTTCTTCTCTTCTTCTCCTATACTCATCCTTTTCTTCTCTTCTTCTCCTTTTCTTCTCCTTTTCTTCTCTTCTTCTCCTATACTCCTCCTTTTCGTCTCTTCTTCTCCTATACCCCTCCTGTTCTTCTCTTCTTCTCCTATACTCCTCCTTTTCTTCTCTTCTTCTCCTATACTCCTCCTTTTCTTCTCTTCTTCTCCTTTTCTCCTCCTTTTCTTCTCTTCTTCTCCTATCCTCCTCCTTTTCTTCTCTTCTTCTCCTATACTCCTCCTGTTCTTCTCTTCTTCTCCTATACTCCTCCTTTTCGTCTCTTCTTCTCATATCCTCCTCCTTTTCTTCCCTTCTCCTCCTATACTCCTTCTTATCTTATTTTTTTTCCTATCCTTCTCCTTTTCTTCCCATTTCCTCCTATACTTTTTCTTATCTTCCCTGTCCTCCTATACTTCTTCTTATCTTCCCTTTCCTCCTATACTCCTTCTTATCTTATCTTCTTTTCCTATCCTCCTCCTTTTCTTCTCTTCTTCTCCTATCCTCAACCTTTTCTTCCCTTTTCCTCCTATCTTCCTACTTTTCTTCTTTTCTTTTCCTTTCCTCCTATCCTCTCCTTATCTTCTCCTCTTCTTCTCATATCCTTCTCCTTTTCTTCTCTTCTTCTCATATCCTCCTCCTTCTCTTCTCTTCTTCTCCTATCCTTTTCTTCTCTTCTTCTCATATCGACCACCTTCTCTTCTCTTCTTCTCCTATCCTCCTATCCTCTCCTCCTTTTCTTCTCTTCTTCTCCTATCCTTCTCCTTTTCTTCTCTTCTTCTCATATCCTCCACCTTCTCTTCTCTTCTTCTTCTATCCTTCTTTTCTTCTATAAAATACGTATACGCTCATTTAGACTTGACACAATATATTTAATCAGCCACGCTTCACCGACTCACCTTAGTACAGATAGAAAATTAAGAAGTTGAACCCCCCCCCCCCCTTGGTAGCATATCATTCCAAACACTAGAGAGATTCAATTCATTCAATGATGTGTCACTAATTGATTGATAATCGGTTCCATTGCTAGATTTGTTCCCTTAATCGGTCTCCAGGCTCCTGAATAATTTCAGGCTTTCATCTTAACATTTGTTACGTTAACATGATGAAACATCCTCTACCTTTATCCTTCAGAGCATTCATAAACTGGTGATTTCAACCTTGGACTTAACATGGGAAAATATACCTAGTAAGACAGGGGAAGTATCCTCTAGTTGACAGGGTAAATATTCTCCAGCAAGACAGGGGAAATATCCCTAGTAAGACAGGGGAAATATCCTCTAGTAAGACAGGGGAAATATCCTCTTAGCAAGATAGGGGAAATATCGTCTAGTTGACAGAGGATATATTCTCCCGCAAGACAGGGGAAATATCTCTAGAAAGACAGGGGAAATATCTCTAACAAGACTTGGGATATATCTCTAGTATGACAGGGGAAATATCTCTAACAAGACTTGGGATATATCTCTAGTATGACCTGGAAATATCTCTAACAAGACAGGGGAAATATCTCTAGAAAGACAGGGGAAATATCTCTAACAAGACTTGGGATATATCTCTAGTATGACAGGGGAAATATCTCTAACAAGAAAGGGGAAATACCCCTAGTAAAACAGGGGAAATATCCTGTGGCAAGACAGGAAAATATCCTTTAAGAAAACTTGAATTGAAGGTGGGGGGAGGGATGACAAGAGTCAAATGTATTAATGTGAGAAGGTTTTTACCTTTCATTGATTTTCTTGGCATTTTAATAAAGATATATTCTTGAAAAAAATAATTATGAGAAAATTGAACAACACGGAGACGATCGATGATGGCCGCGATATGGGGTTGGGAGGGGTGTTGATGGTTATGGGTTGTGTTTGGGAGGGGTGTTGATGGTTGTGGGGGGGATAAGGGTTATTAGACGTTCAGAAATACTTATTTGGATAGTTCATCAAATATTTCCAAGTTTCACAGCCAGGATGGATTTAGTTTAGGGAAAGTGAAACTCCTTTGATTGAAAATACTATTTCTAAACGACAGGGATAGAATAATAGGGGACAAAGGTGACACAGTTTGAGAAATTAATATTTTCCCCGGATATTACTCATTTGTTAAAATTGGTGTTGTTTGGACTTTCACAATACTATGAAAGATAAGATTAATTTAACCTTCTCTTCTCCACCCCCCCCCATATCCCAGTTAGGATTTATAT